CTCCCCATAAGTTTGGGGAGACCCAGTGTTGTGTTTATGTTTGAATTGCCTGGAGAACCGGATATGTTTCATAAATTTGGGTGGTCTGGTTGCTCTGACTTGCGAGGGGTGACTGTAGTTGTCCTTTTAGGAACCAGGCATTGTCCCATAAGTTTAGGTGGCTTGGTTGCCTTGTTTATTTTGGGTTTCTTCTGTTTTTTTTGGTTCTAAACGAGGAGGCTGAGCATGTCCCATAAGTTTGGGTGACTCAGCCTCTTCTTGCTTTGGCTTTAAGAAGAATGAACGAGGCGGAGGACCAAACATGTTTCATAAGTTTGGGTGGTCTTGGTCCAATGCCTCGCACATGCTGGAACCCAAAGGTTATAATTTGGCTATACTTCATTATTATTTTACCTATGAACAGGCTAGTCAGACATAGTCTTATAAGTTTGGGTGGTCTGATTAAAGCATATCATCAACTTGAAGAGAGTATTAATTAAGAGTAAATTGGTGGTAAGATGGGGCAGACTGAACTTGAGTTTAGTTCAGTCATATGTAGCCTCAAAAGACTAAGTGCAGACAATTATATATAATTTGGATATCTTAAACAGTTCAGGGCGACTAGGGTGGCCTAGTAACATGCTCAAAGAAGAGAAAATTTGTTTTGCCCTGTGTTTGTGTATACTAAATGGCTAAGTTAGGCATATCCCATAAGTTTGGGTGGCCTAACTTTATGCCTTATGTAAGCTGAGTATAAAGGGATAAATCATTGAAAGATTACGAATTTTTGTTTGTTCAGGATGACTTGGGGATGGTGAGAGTACTTACCTTTGTGATTTGACCTGCATGTGGCTGAGTGAGATCACTGTTTAGTCTGAATTTCAGTTGATACGTAGTTGCCTTAGTTGCTCGCCACGTGCTAGAACCATAAGAGTCAGTCTCAATTCCTGCATTTTCCAAGTTACGTTTATTTTTATTTAGGTCGATTTTTGCATTTTCTGGGATCTTTTTATTATACTTGGTCTTGAATAGATCTTGGTAAGCCACTTTCTCTGCGGAAAACGCTGCCGAAATTTCTAAAAAAACAAGGAGTTTGTCATATTTTGTCTTTTCAAAATTCAGTTTGTCTGACTTTTTGACTTACTAAAAATCAGGAGAGTCCCATTTTCTAAAGACTTTTCTAAAGGTTTTTCTAAAGGGAGTGCTACCCAAATTTTTGTTAATTCAGGGAGTTAGATAAAATTGGACCTTGAGAAGTCAAAGTCATTTTAAATTATGAACTTAGCTTTATATAAATTTTGGTAAGTTACTTTCTCTACGGGAAGCGCTGCCGAAGTTTCTGTAAATCTAAGGAGTTAGTCAAAATTTGACTTTACAAAAGTTCAACTTGTCTTATTTTTATATATGAATTGGTAAAAATCTGGGAGTCTCTTTTTCTGAAGGGAGTGCTGCCCAAATTTTTGCTAAATTCAGGGAGTTAGATAAAATTGGACTTTCAGAAGGTTGAAGATTATTTATGTTTTCATATTTAGGCTGATATAAATTCTGGAAAGACACTTTTCCTACGGGAAACACTGTCGAAATTTTGTTAGTTTAGGGGAGATAGGTTACATTTTGACAGGTGGCGACTCTGGCGATCCACTTTGTATGGGGGAGATCCTGCCATAGGTCTACCTTTCCTTGGGCGCTGACTTAGAGATAGACCTAGGCTCGGTTGTCAGGAGAGTCTTGAGCGAGAGTGTGTCATGGGGATTAAATCTCCATACATTGGCGATTTAGCTTGGACATTGACCTATCGTATGGTACAGATCCTCTTTGGACATTCGATCCAGGATTTTGACTAGTTCCAGCTTGATCCTACGAGGATCATTTTCTTTTATCACTGATAATAAGTCGGTTGGTTGATCGCCGACTCGTCGGCACATGACACAACTTTGCTTACTCTTGTACCTCAACTTGATTGCCTTAGCCCTAAGATTTAATATGTTTCTTTGAGGGTTCTAACCGGACCTCTTTTAAATGGCCATTATAAAGAACTTATGAGATTTATGAAAAGTTGAACTATGACAGAGACTTGGGTGTGTGAGGCGTGGTGTGAGTTACAGGGAACAGTAAAGTTGACCACATTGGTGTATGACAATGTGACTATTGTGTTTGCTTGTGTCTTATGCAGGTTAGTATTTTGGAGTTTAGTACATGAGTCATACTTTGGAGGGAGTGAGAATGACAACCATGTGACGCACGATCTGCATAATTGATGGGTTTGTGTTTTCCCCTTCCTGTATTTTATCTCGATATCTGATTTGATATATGAGTGTTGGGATGTTTATTTATTTATTGATTGATTTTGCTTGTTAATTTTTATAGTTGGACGTTAGAGCCCATGACAGCCGTCAAAGTCAAACCGCTTGACTTCTTTCYAGACCCTGGATGATGGAGCTGGTCTCAAGGGCAATAAGAGACGATTGTCACCACAGGTGTGAACCTGTGTACCACCCACTCTTTGCAGGGTGCAGAAGAGGGTCTGGTTTACAACCGCACTTGACGGTTGTCCAGCGTCGAGAGATCATTCCCTCAAGGCGCGTGTAAGCCGACACTTGAGTGTCGAATGCGACCCTCGAGATTAACGAGGACCTCATGAGTATGGGTACTACATAGCACGCCATCATTGCGACCGCTTGCGTACGCTTGCATTGCGATTCGATATGAGTTAGCCCTGCGTCCGCGCGGTTTTGTACCAAGTCTCGCGCGCGTCGCCTTTCCGATTTCGACGTCGGAGAGTCATGAGACAACTACTAAGGGACTAGGAGTGTTATCGCATTGTTTGTTCTCTGTCGTTTTTTATATGTATGTGTATGTGTGGGTGTTTTTTTATTTTTATGTTCTTTAGAGTGGTGTGTGTGTGGTGCACAGGATGCGTCCTAGTCAACCAGCGATGAGTCACGTTTGGGACCTCAGACCCCCAAGATGTTGGTTCGCGTGCGGGTCTGATAGAAGCGTAATACCCCGCGTACCGCAAATGCTACAGCGAACGAGAAACGCCCTCGGCTGGTCCACCTCCGCGATTTCAGCTGATCAACTTTCGTACTGTGGACTGGTAGCTCGGCGGGGATACGCCCACTGAAGGGAGGTGACAACTCCCGTAAGGTGGAGGTAAGTCGTACCTCGCGTAGGCCCTATCCTGTCGTAGGGGCTCTTGAGAGGTATGGTTGGTGCACTCGATCGGAGCGGCTTGCGGAAGCACCATGTATATTCACGACGAGGGAACCAACTCCTGCGTGACGAGGCCGAGAGGGTCCCGCGCTGGCTTTGAGCGATGCCGGACCGATGCGCTCGACAGGTGGCGCCATTGCCGGGTATAACGGTTGCCTGCCGTTGTCCCTGGTGGAACGACATCCGGGTATGAAAAAGTGAGAAGTAGGCAAAAGGAGAAGCTTTCTTTGGATGTATATGGTCGGTTGCATGATACTTTGACTATCGTTGAAGATGTCTAAAAACTGTGGCGTAAGTGTGAAGTGTTTATTATGAGAGGTCAAGCTGAGTCGCCCTCCCCTTGTCGATAGAGCCTCGCTTTTGAGGAGTTTTCTGGTGCATGGGTGACATGAGTGAGAGGGTAACTGATAAATGCGAAATGAGGGGTTTGATGTCAAAGGTTTTTCCTTGAGCCAAGACCACGTTGTGGTGTGATGGTTAGTGCAATTAATATTGCGCATTGACCCTCCAATGGTATCAGTTGACGATAAAATTGAGTCACCTAAAGGATTGTATAAATGTAACTGCCGGAGTAGTGGTTACTTAGCTAACCGTTTGGCTAACCCGAAGAGAGGCTTATGTTCTAAAGTATGTGTAATATATATCGATTTTGTTCGTTTTTATGACGGTGTTATTTGGTTGGTATCATATATGTGTTTTTCTGTATTTTGTTTGATGTCTAACTGATGACGTATGTATGGTTTGTCTGTAAGAGAGGACATATACTTTGCATAATACCCAGATCTGGCATGGGACCAGAGGTGAATGGGGGGACTCATTCCTAAGGAAGGTGATCCTTCCTCAAGGGAGTAAGTTGGCGTGTATAGTTGTCCTCAGTGGAAGTGCATTCTTGAATTGTTACTCCCTCGTTAAGGCTTAAGGAGGCAGTTATCAGTATCAAGATTGATAGTGAGACCCACTCCGGAATTATGTTCGTGGTCCATTAGTGGGGTGTTGTTATCTTTCCTATGATAGGAGAGTAACTACACTATCTGTTGAGAGAAGAGGAAGGAGCTTGTTACCTTGTCGAAACTGTGATGGCCAAGTGAAACAACTAATACTCAGTGAAAGCGGTTCTGGAGTAGCGACCTAGGCTCGTCTCCCGTTAAGTAGGGCCGCCATATTTGTAAAGGTGCGAATTCGCTCTTCGTTGCCTTGATAAGTACGGGTGGGGTTGCCCATTTGACCATGATAGGGTCGGTGAGGTGCAAGCGCTGGAATCAGAGAGGGATACGGTGAGGCTTGATCTTTAGAGGGGGGCTTAGGAGTCAAGATGTTATCTTATGAGGATTACACCGTACCTCTGTAATATATACTTCGCTTAAAAAGTAGAAGGGGTAACAATTGTATCATGCTATTTACTCATTGCTGGTCTTATTTCTGCCTTATAGAATATATAATACGTTGTCGAGGGTTATCTTGTTATATGACTGGCAGTTGAGTTGACTTCAATGTTGTTGTTTATAAATTTTGTCATAATCTTCAGTTACAACCCTTGCCAATAAGTTGTGCCTATTATGTTAGGATTATTGTGGTAAGTATATGTTATTTATCATGACTCATGTTTGAAGTATCCACCTATGTGACATATGGATATTGTGTCATTCCTTGATAATAGAAAATATAAGTGGTTAATGCCTGAGTTATGATTTAGAGGATTTATAGGTGAATATTTATGCTTTATTTAAGGTGAATATTTATTCAAAGACTCTCTTCGATAACACCGTTGTTCTGAATAGATTCTATGTATGCCTTCATGATAAGAACGGGATAATTTAGTAGGATATATTCTATATTGGATTTAGTTGCGTAACTTCCTTCGAGCCTCGAACCTAACGCCGTTTGTTGTTGTTCAACAGGTGATGAGGTCGAGGGAGCTCGAGATGGAAGGGTTTCAAGGGAAGATTGGGGTCGAGGAACTTGTCTACCTGTTGGGTGTGCGTGGTTGGGAGCGAGACAACCTACCCAAGGTTGAGATCGACTTCTACAAAGGCTATCATGTTTCTGACTTCCTTGACAAATTTGGGCAGATAGCATCCCACTGCAAGTGGAATGAGGAGCAGATGCTGAAGGAGGTTATAAAGTATATCCATATAGGCTTGAAGAACGAAATCAGTGGGCTGATTAGAAGAGCGGGGTCATCATGGAGCAAGTTTTATGATGACATGTGGAATAAATACCGGCTAGGTGGGGAACAACTGACCAAAGACGATCTTGAGAGGATGGATCGATATAGTTATGTGTCAGTGGGGCACTTCTTGGCGGAGTATGAGTACACATCGCGCAAGGTCTGGGCACTGTCTGAACATGACAAGTGCTTTGTTTTCCTTATGAACTTCACAGGCGCTGAGCAGCGAGACTTGATTCGTGGGACAGAGGGGAAACTAATATGGGATAAGATCCGAGAGAACTTTGAGCATGGGGATTTCGACCAGTACCTCTGCCATAGGAGTGAGCTTGGAAAGAGGCCAAATGACCCTGCAGTAGGCACCTCTGATGATAATAAAAATGGATTTCAGAAGGACGCTAAGGTCGTCAAGCGAAATCACAGATGGAGCAAGGAGAAGAATAAGGAGCTAGATGATGAGAGAAAAGAGGTGCAGACTAGAGTAAGGAATGCTGCAACTCATACCTGTGAGAGGACGTTTGACGCTCCAAATGAGAAGGGAATGAAAGAGCGAAGAGTTCGAGAAGAAGTTGGTATAGCCCTGCCGACCGCTGCGTCTGATCCTAAGAAGTAGTGTGATGACAAGGGCATATCGTCAACTATAAGTTGAACCGGACGAAGAAATAGAAGAGAGCGAGAACGGTGGGCGCAGATATTATGTGCTTGTTGTGGGGAGACTGGTCATACCCCTCGCAGATGTAAGATGGCAAAGAGAGGGGTTGAGGGGTTAGGTCGTTTGCCTAGATAAAAGTTTTGATCTTTTATAGCATCTATTATTTGTCGCATTCATAGCAGGAGAGAGGTAGAATGGTGTGAGCAGCCTTGAATGACTAATAAGCAGACACTCGAAAGGCTATGACGGTGCGGAAGACTCAGTTGGTAGAACTAATAAGGGATTATCTGCTTATTTTGCTTTTAACCGAACCTATGAGTTTTACGAAACGTAGATGTCATCTTGTAATTATTTCTGGTCTCGAGTGTGCGTTTTTACTTTTTGGGATTGTGCGTACATTCTGGATCGGAGTATCCACTCTCTAAGCTGACTTTAGCATTTGTCAGATACAAGTGGATGTCATATAAGGGATAGTCGTCCGTACGTTGACGCTCACCCATTTTTGCGAGAACGTTTGAGATCCTTCTGTGTATATCAGTTGGTTATGGTCTATGTGGTATGATATACAAGGTCACTTGATTTTGATTGGGACCTGGAATTATGATGATTTGAGGCTTGTGAAGATTGGAGACTCGAGATAATTTGATCTTCCTTTGAGGGTCATCTTGGTATGGGTTTTGATTCCCCCGGGGTGCAGGATCGTGCGTGTTCTGATTGTCATTAACATTCTCACCATTGTGGTATTGTGGGTCTTTCTGTGTTTTATTTAATTAATATAATGAAGTATGTCTGAACCAAAGAGGGTTCAATGAAGTGAAGAAAGCGTGATTTTGAGTGAAGGATTTATAGGAAGTTGAAAAGTCCAAAAAGTTATATAAAGAAAAAGGTTATGCATGAAGGCGGTCTGAGTGGTTATTGGTTTTATCTGAACTTATCTTCAAGCGAAAGGTATTTTAAAGTTTATATGAATAGATCATTCATGAGTGGGATGATGGCTGAGAGATTTTTATGGGTGATTCTCCTTCAGAATGGAAGGAGTATTAAAAGTTTTATGGAAGGCTCACCCAAGGGAAGGAGGGGTGGCTTAAGAAGATCTTTTATGGAGTAGAGTACTATCCTCGGCCAAATCGGCAGTTCCACTCTGTTGGTCCTCAGCTGCCAGTAAGCGTGTCATCTGCGGCAGGAAAACCTGCCAAGTAAGAAAGCCCTTGCCTGACCAGTGACTGTGAGTCCCGGGTGGTTTTGTGTGTGTGGCGGGGGGTAAGGAAATAACCGTTCAATTCGACATCCCCGCTTGCATAGTCACGTGAAAGATGGTAAAGGAAGCACTGGCAATGTGGAAGCCTGCTGGTTGTGAGTCTTTCACTCAACTTATTATGGGTCACAAACGGTCTAGTCTGGGACGAAGACTTCCATGATTAAGACTCCTTGAGAGATTTAAGTTTTGACTAAATGTCGTTGGGAGTGTCGTCTACGGAGGGAAAAACCCACCTGATTTTGAGACCCTCCAATCGACTTTAGTTTTGGTTGAAAGTGTCGTATCAGCAAGTGGGAAGTTTTAAAGCAGTAAAAACGTGAGTTTATTTGAGAGAAGATTATGAAATCTTGCTCGCTGAGCAAAGTTTTATGAATGTGATTGACAAACTGCGTGACGGAAGTAAAGAGCCCTGCTTATAAAAGTAAGATTTGTGGACAAAAGGCGTGGATTTCATTTATTTTGAGGGTTTAATGAGTACCCCTACCATCTGTTTGATGAATGGCTAAAATGAATGGTTTTTGAGCGACAGTAATGGCTTGTGGGGATTGGGCTTAAAGGGGCCCTACCCGTAAGGTACATTTGGGGTATAAGTGATGGGGTCAAACACCCTAATCTTCTAGATTAGCTCAAAGATTGAGATGTTTGATTAAGCCCCACAATGGGGTGTTTCTTTAAGGAAGAGCTCGAAAAGGAGTGTATAGATCAGTTGAAATTGAGTAATTGATGTGTGTGAAAAGAAAAGAGTTTAAAATAAAGATTGAGATCCTGAAATTTGACCCACCACTAAGTCTGAGTTTCAACTTATGATATGGTGATTTAGGTTGCCCGACGCGACAAAATATCGCTCAAAGAGACCGGAAGTGGTGTAGTCTTGAGTTTAACATTAGATGACTTCCTGTTCGTAATTATAACGGGTGGAAAGTGGTTTTATCCACTTTGTTGAGTTAGAAGTTGAAGTGTGTTTGTGACTAGCCGATTACTCGACTCTTGTAGATTTCTATTGTGATCAGGAATTGAATGGTATTTTCCACCTTTGACTTCTGCCCGAATTGTCTTAAGGAATCGAGGTTTAGAATTGATACAGCTTGGTAACTGCTTTAATCAAGTTTTACGACGAGTTAAAGACAGAGGAAGTTATCATGTACTTCTTCTGAAAACTGTATTTGGATGATACTCGCGATGATTGTTTGGTGCGACGGGGACGTCGCTTAATAAAGTCGGACAGACTGTCGTACCAAGTACCCTTACAAGGGTATTTGACGTGGTTTCCGTAAGTCGCTCTAATGTGGCCTCGTCCGCTTGACGGAACACGTATAAGAGGACGTTCACGCCCTCGCCGGGGTGTGCGGCACACGCGGGGTGTTAGAGTTACGTGAAGGAACTGAGCAGTTGAGGGTCCAGCGGGGGTAGCCCTTTGGTTTTGTTGTCAGCGGCGCCAGAACGGTGCTAGCAGTTTTTTCTGTATAAATGTTTTTATGCACTGGCATTCCCTGATTCGGACGAGTCGTCGGATTTTTTAGGCCGTCACAGCGATCGAGGACCTTAAGCGCGCGTCACTTTTGGTTCACCTGCGGATTCAGGCGTGCTCTGAGCGCCGGCAGAATCCCTCGACCGTCCAAACACGGACCGAAGAGTTTAACCGTGTATGCGAGCTGGTGGGTGACTAAGCCTACGAGGCGGAAGGCACTTGGGTTGCAGGGGTATTCTGCAATAACGCCCGGTGCCCGCCCGCAGTCCGCGGCGAGAGGTCTGAACGTGGGCATGGCCGTTGACCCTCGAGGGCCGGTGGGACGAGCCGAGGCGTGGAGAGACGAGCGCACCAGGGTAGAAGCGAGAGTGGATCATAATAGCGGTCCTATGGAACACATCCCCAAATTTTGGTCTCCACAAAGCTCACCTGAATACGTGCCAATAAGATCTGCGTCGGGCACCCTCTTCACCTGCCTCACAGCGAGGGCCATACAACAGGCTGTGACCTTCGATTCCTAGTAGAGGCAGAGTCGGGAGGACTAAGCACAGGCTGAGTGCCTCAGTGCCAGCAGCTATTCAGGGCGGATGTTTTCGCCAGGGGAAGCAGACAGTGGCCAAGGGCACCGTAAGGAGGTGCGCAGCGGTGGCAATGACCGAGCCGCCCGGTGGAACTTTTTCCAAACTTTTTCCACCTCGGTCTTCAAAAGTTCCCACTTGACTGTCTACTACTACTACCAAGATCTTCATCGGAAAAACACTTGGTGAGACTCACGCTGTAGGCTTGGAGCGGATTTGCGCTCTCCTACTAATCTCGGCGCTGGAGCAGGTACGACGGTCGAACCTGGGTGGTGCACTGCAGCGGTCGCCCCCACTAGCTGTATCGACCCACAACCATCGCGATGATCGCGTTGGAGTGAAGTCTGGCGCAGGACGAACGAAGGCAACAAGGGCAAAGTGAATCTGGGCACGTATTCGTGCGAGGTACTTCCGAATGAGGTGAAGAGGCGGAGGCACGAAGCTAGGAGAAGAAAATGGGGCCTGAACCCAGCCATGAAGAGGTGGAAAGTGCATGCAGGGGGATATGGAGAAGGGACAATGACGGGTATGGCGAGGAAGGGAACTAATAGCGCACTTGATTCGTAACAAAATCAAGCGCAGAGAGATGCCGGATGGGGGTTTCTGAATCGGGCGAACCTTGTGGAAGTGTTAGTTTTAGCAATAGATTAGTAGAGTGAGAGTTAGTACGAAGGTGACGTGCGCGGAGATAGCGATGGTAGAGAGGAAGCAAGGGAAGAAAGTATGGTTCTCTCCCGTTTCTTAATGAAAGCAGGCAAGGGAGGATTCAAATCGGGGGATTTTAGGGACTGCGAACCCGATTTTGTAGTTAGTTCGGTTGGAAAGTTAGTAGGTAGGAGCTAGAAAGAAAAACTAGTGCGTCGAGATATGGCGGAGAAGAGGGAAAGGGAGGATGAAACACACTTACCTCTCTCGATTCCTAACATAATCAAGTATGAAAAAGTGTTAAACCAAGTTTGCGTGGTCGGGCGAATCGAGTGATGGGTTTGGCTCGGCGAGTGGGGTTATATATGAAGATGTAAGGGGAACAAAAGGTGCGCGAAGAGTTGAGCAAAAAGATAGAAGTATGTACCTCTCTTGATTCTTGACGAAGTTCGGTGAAGTAAAAGGCGAAAATGAAGATTGGAATCGTTTTGAGTTAATTGGCCTCGCCAGATTTCGAATTTGGGCGGCGGTTTTATGGATAGGGAGTTCGGAGGCTGCGTGCCAAAGCAGAAGGGAGTGTGAAAAATATCTTTCCGCGCTCTAGCGGAAGATTCATCCCGTTTTCATTCGGCCCGGTGATCGAGGGGCGTGAGACCAGGCGAAGGGGTAAGTGGCTTACCTGATTACCAGTGTGTTGCTCATCCTAACGGCGAAATAGTCTGTCTCGATATCTCTGCGCGCAGTGGCTGGAAACAATGTGTATCCGGTCGTGTTCTAGCAGGGAAATTATCAAGTTTGGGACATGGTGCCGACATTCGGATCATGGGTAGTGCGCACAGTAGTTGCAATTCGCTCACGGAGAGAGGGATGCGAGGTGAACCGGGGAGTTATCCGCTGGTCGAGGTACCGTCGGCCTCGCTATTCGGAGGAGCAGAGGGTAAGCCACGGGGATCGGAGGTTTACCCGATTGGTCGATATGCAGTCCGGTTATGCGAGGTAGAGCGGCAATGAGGAGAAAAGTCGCGAGAAGGAGTGCTTAACCACCGGCAAGAGCACAACCCACCATGTCAAATGGAGTGACCGAAGGCTAAGTGCGAGTCTGAAAGTCTTTCTGGCGGCCGACGAACTGCTATTTCCGCCAAAACGAACTAGCTGCGAGTAAACAACGTGGAGAAGATAGCAGGCTTGTTCGTAGGGTGGTATGAAGCCCATCCTGTCAGTCGGAACAGCAAGGAGCAAGCCGGAAAGATTGCAGGCTTGTTCGTAGGGTGGTATGAAGCCCATCATGTCGGCCGGAACAGCAAGGAGCAAACTATGAAGATTGCAGGCTTCCTTACCAGTTGGTGCGTTGCCCATACTACCGGTTGAGGTAGCTAGAGGCGAGCCTCAAGGGCTGTCAGCGCTCCCATTGGCACAAACTTAGGATTGCAAGCTTGTGGGGTGGTTGAGATTGCTGGAAGAGGGGTCGTTGCTTAGAGTTGGAGATGCGGCAGGGAGTCAACAGTAGGCAGTTGGGCGTTAGTTTGACCAAGCTGCTGCGTGTTCTAGCTACCATTGCGGGGCCCTAAGGCGCATGAAGATGACAAGGTCCTCTCCTGAGAGTTGAGTTTGTCCCCCTCTTGTATCTCGAGAGTCTCAGACCCCTCTTTCTGTTCTTCTTAATCTAAGTCTAATCCTGTTCTAAGAGGAAGGCGGCAGGCGGGATTGCAACCCGTAGGACCGTAGCGAAACTCTGTGGGGAGTCTGCCCACCGACTGTGGGAGATCTGTCGGAACTTAGGAGGAGTTCTGGAGGCAGGGAACTGAGAGGTAATCATTCGCTTTCCTTCTATAAACCCAGTTATAACCCATTATCTTTATTCCTTCGCTATGTTTTGACTAAGTATACTGCATGCCCCCTTACTTTGCATTATGTTTTACTTTCAGAACATGACCAGATTAAATAAAGGGATGTATGTATAATGCAGTTTCAGTTTGGTTGTCTGACTGAAAGCAGATTGTGGGGTTGCATCTGGTGGAAGGATGAGAGGAAGGCAGTTTGTTTGGGTCTGACTGGTCTATCCGTGGCTGGGAAAGTTCCATAAGTTTGTGGAGACCCAATGTTGTGTTAATTTTTGAATTGCCTGGAGAACCAGATATGTTCCATGAGTTTGGGTGACCTGGTTGCTCTGACTTGCGAGGGCTGACTGTTGACCTTTTAGGAACCATGCATTGTCCCATAAGTTTGGGTGGCTTGGTTGCCTTGTTTATTTTGGGTCTCTTCTATTTCTTTTGGTTCCGAACAAGTAGGTCTGAGCATGTCTCATAAGTTTGGGTAACTCAGTCTCTTCCTGCTTTGGCTTTAAGAAGAATGAACCAGGCGGAGGACCAGACATGTTCCAGAAGTTTTGGTAGCAGGAAGAGACTGAGTTACCCAAACTTATGGGACATGCTCAGACCTACTTGTTCGGAACCAAAACTTCTGGAACATGTCTGGTCCTCCGCCTG